AATGCACATGGTGTATAAAAGAATAAACCTAAGTTAACACTAGTTAGGAGCAAAAAGCCGATCAGAGGAAACTCTGTAAGGTTTGATGCTGACCTTAGGTCTGTGGAAGCAGGAACAGCTTCCTCCAAACATGGATCGGGACAAAGTTTGGTTGGATGGTGGTAAACAAAGACCAGAATGGATTCAATGTTTTTTGATGATTTGATTTTTTCTCTGCTTTGTGTCATCCAGGTGTTGGAGTACAAATCTGATCTGAAGCAGTTCTGGAAGCGCTCTCACGGTCACACCATCAGCAGTCTGTCCAGCTGTCCGCTCTTCCATCACATCTTCAGGACCTTGGACAAAGCTGGCCGTCCTCGTCGGTGGGTGAGGTAGCTGTATGGCGCCCTGACTCATCCCCAGTTAACTCGTGAACTAACCGAGTCCCGCTTGGTGGTTGCAGATCCACTGATGCGGCTCCAGAACCGGCATCCATCTTGGTGGGACACGCTGAGACGCTCCTCCCCCTCCTCTCTCTCCTTGGACTGTACAAAGACCAGACTCCGCCTACAGCCAGCAACTACCAATCACAGCATGGTATGAAGCCTTTATCCAATCAGAAGGAGGAAAAAAATTATTGCAAAACCTTTTATTCAACAGTGAAATCCTGGAAATCCAGGCAGAATCTCTTGTTAATTATTCATCAAAAAATAACATTTCAAAAAGTATTCTGGAATTAAATGGCTGATATTTTGGCTGCAATGTTAACTTGTTTATTTGAACGCTTATCTGCATGAAAAATGAAAAAAAAAATTGGGAAAAACAAACAAAGAACCTAAGAAAAGGAGAAATCAAAGTTATTTTCTTTCTGAATATTTTTAAATTTCTTAATAAAGAGTTTACATTTTAATTTAGATATTTGAGAAAATTGTTAGAATTTCAATTATGTTTGGATTTATTTAAGACAATAATAATATTGATGGAGAAACAATTTGTGGAAAAAAAGAAATTACCTGAAAAATAACATCTCAGAAAATTAAAAAAGTTCATTTTATGTTAAATCTAAAACCCTCAATCTTCTTTTTGGAAACTGGGAGACGCACGTCTGTTATACTTTTATTCTGAAAGAGCTGCGAGCAGTAACTCTCTGTCTGTCTGCAGGGAGAAGTTTCCGAACCAGCCGCATCGTTCCGTATGCCGCCAACCTGCTCTTGGTTCTCTATGACTGTCAGCGTGGCCCCCGGCTGCAGCTGCTCATCAACGAGACGCCGCTGCGCTTCCCAGACCTGCAGGAGGATGCGCCGCTTTACAGAGACGTTCGTGCTGCATACCGCCACCTGCTGGATGGCTGTGACTTCCAAAGAGAGTGTGAGGGGAGACCTGAGGGCCGGGGGCCCAATACCGAGCTTTGACCCCTGGACCCCCACCTTCCCGCTCAGTTATGGCCTTAATCCGCCTGCTGACACGCCCCACAGCCACTCAGACGGCGTCCTTTCAGAGACATTTAAAACTGAGCAGGGAGACTCTTTCCTTTGGGCGGAGCTTAAAGGATGAACCGGACTGTCATCCATGAGCAGGACATGATGAACAAACCCAGTTCTGTCCCATTTTCATTCTTCATCCCCTAATATTTCTGAGGCCTTAATGAGTTTTATTTAAATGGACTTTTAATCTGGGTTTCTTTATAAAGCTTTAAGCTAATTTTTCCCCCAATATGGGTTTTATTTAACTATTCTTTTATTTTGATACGCTGGCTGCTCCATGTTTGGATGTATACTTTTGGGTGAAATGATTTGTGTTTGAGCCAAATAAGGTTTCAGAGCTTTTAGTTTGCCAAATGTTTCCGAATTAAAGCTTTAATAAAGACACATTTTCTGATTAAAATATCCGGGCTAATTCCTGTTGGATCATCGGAACCTACAGGTGGGAAATTTGAGACTTGAGAGACGACGGCGACCGATCCTTATAAAACCAGGAACAGATGAGGGTTTCTAAAGGAAAGTTAATTCTGATTGGTTTAGAGGAAAATAAAACCAAATCATCTAAATTATACAATGTTTAAGTAAAGCAACAAAATTAAAGATTTGGGAAATGAACATTTGACCCCTTACTTCCAACCAGTCCACTGCATGTCTAATCTTTCCATCACAGATCTGCACTCTGACCTTTGAACTCTGCTGACAACCCATCCACTGTTTCCAATCATTCAAGGCTTTTGTGGAAAGTTTCTCACTCTGGTTTCTCAGCTCAGTTCATTAAGCATCAAACATTAAAACAGTTCAGTCATTTCAAACTCAGTATATCCATTTATTGCACATCGTGATGCTTTTCAGGTGTTTATTTCATTTAATTGTGATCATTAGATAATGAAAAACCCAAATTCACATCAGAAAATATACATTTGAAAACAGACCAATAGTTTCTTTTTTACATAAAGGTAAGCCAACTGAAAACACATCCATGTGATACAGCAGATGAATGAAATTGAGCTACCAAGTCCAGCTGACAGAGGTGTCAAAAGTATTTATATTTATTACTCATGTAAAAGTATAAATCCTGCCGTTTAAAAAAATCCTAGAGTATCAACTTAAAGGTATTGTGGAGGATTTTTGCCAATCTTTAAAAAGACCCACCCTCTCCACTTAAAAACAATAAAATGCACATGCACAACCCAGTACCTGCTCCTAGGAGTAATCAAATGCATGTGAGAGCATAAACATTACATTGCTCCCCGTGCATGCTCTGTTTAAAAGTTGCTGTTTGCATCATTACTACAGGCTTACTTTCCAAAAGATTTGCCTTTTTTCCACTATGTCGACTCTCCACAGGTTAGTGAAAATGGGGATGAGCATTTAGTGCAGCCTTACGTAAACATATCAACAAAATGATTGAATGATCCACCCGGAAATATAAGATCGTCCTCTATACCTTTAAGCTTTTTAGTCGAGTAAAAGTACCATTTTTACTTAATACTTAAGTATTAAAGTAATGCAGGGAAAAGTTTTACTGCATTACCTTAAATGAATTTTTTTCTAAAATTCTGGATGATAACTTCCTTATACTTAATTTCTATAACTAATAGTAACGGTATCAGATTTAACTTTGCATCGTCTCATACTGTTCATTTTGGTATGTGGTGAACAACAAGTTGGGGCAGCACCGAGTCCAACCACAAAGAAATTATCTCGATGAAACTAATTATTTACATGGTTAACTTTTTTTTTTTTTTTATACCAACAGGCCATAATGAAAATGAGCTTAAATGAAATTAAACTAACAAGCTTTTGAGTATTTAAAATAAAAAGGAGTAGAAGAAAAAAATATGTATTTGAAGTATTTGTACTTTGTTGCTTGACATCTCTGGCAGCTGATAAGTAGGTTGTTTCTTCATAAAGCTGCTCAGCAGATCATGACGGTGTCAGAAGCAGAAGGCTTTTGGATTGAAGGTCAAACGTCTCCAGTGAACAGAAGTCGTCCAGATTCTTCATTTGATCAATTATTAAAACTCACACTGAAACTCAGCCGATCCAAACTATAAGACCCTAAACTTTACAAAAGGACTTTAGGGCCACTGGGAATCTAAAAATAACTTTTAATTATGGAGATGCACAAGAATAAAGCTTTATGCTGAAGTCCTTGTCTGATCCAGATCTAACATCCACCCTTTCAAAATAAAAGCAGAGAAGCTCGTTTTAAAAGGTTTCTGAGTTGGAAACAAATCACCAGGAGCTCATCTATCAGATGAACATGTTTATTCCTTCCCAGTGGGAGGAAAAGGAAAAGTAAGGACCACCGGAAGCAATGGGTTTATTCCAAACTCCGCCCTAAAGATGTGACGCTGGACTCATTCTCTGCATTTATTCATCATTTAGGATCATTGCAGCTTCATTAGGATCATGTTGATCAGAGGACACCTTCTAGCTGACCCATTAGTGCACATATCCTGTTTGAAATCATCGCCTTACAGCCAATGAGAAGACCCGATTGTCTGTGGATCATCAGACAGGAAGCTGTTTTATTGATTAATGAAGGTTAGCTATTGAGACGCCCTCTCCAGTGATTAAACCAGTTTGTTGCCATCTAATGAACCATCAAGTAGCCATCGTTTTCTCATCGTAAACCTTGTGACTTTAGATCATAGAGCCTGATCAAACCAGCGGCCCTCAGAGGAACCTTTTGCTGCAGACATCCAGCAAACGGCCCCATTTCTAAGACTAAGGCCGGGTTATAGAGAAGAACCTAAAAGCAGGTATGAAACCTCTGGGCTCTGACAGATAAAACAACCTAAATATCACAATGATATCAAATCAAGAAAAAAAAAAGATATTTCTGACTGTTTTCAAACAATCAGAACTGAGCAGAACAATAACATTCTTCATCAGTTCGATATAAATAATAGTCATAATACAGAAAAATCCCTCAGAAAATTGTAAAAACTCCTAAAAAGCAAATAGAATAAAGGATGAAAGCAGAAACTGACCACCTGATGTTTGACATCACAGAGGAAGAAGCTCCGCCCTGCTGCTCCAGACAAACCTGACCAGATTTACCGTCCGTTTCTTTAATTAGATCTATGCTTTTTATCTGAATACCAATCAGTGTTTGCTTAAAGTCAGTCTGAGGGGGACTGACTGTTTTTCCAGATCAGTAGGAACCCTGATGGAGGCGGAACATCCTGTGGAGCAGGTGTAACAGTTAAATCCATCCCATCAGGAACATCAGGTTCCCCATTGAAGTTGGAATTAAAAAAAAGAAGAAAAGTCAAATGGAAGGAAGTAAGTGGCACATGCTCGATGAGGCGCAGCAGGGTCATGTGACCCGTTTGTTTAGTCTAGAGCAGCGTGCAGCAGGACACCGTGAACGCTCGCCGCCTTGGAGTGCTTCAGTTTGGTGATTGACGTCTGCAGGTCAGACTGACTGATGGGACGGATGGGGTCGTCGTCCTCTGAGCTGAGGGGCACACAGACAGCGAACGTTAACCCAATCTCCAGTCGTATCCGGGACCCCCGACGTGCCCGTTAACAGCCCGTCCCACGGCTTACCTGCCGCTCCGGTTGTGGACGTAGTCTCTGACGCACAGCAACGCCGCATCGCGACACATTTCTCTGAGGTCGCTTCCTGAAAAACCGTCCGTCTCCTTGGCGACGGCTTTTAGGTTAACGGAGGAATCCACCTGCAGGTGATCATAAACCATCAGATCTGATTCAAGTCTGAAAATCCATTTATTTTCATTCAGCAGAAAGCTGCCTCTGCCTCCTAGCAGCAAAGTCTGAGTAAAATTGGCTTTGATCAACTTTTACCGTATTTATATTTATATACTTTTGCCTCATTCCAACAAATCTCTGAAAACTTTGATATCCCACGTTGTCAGTTTTTTAGATATTTGCAAGTGCGCAGTTTTGTCCGCTCTACTTATTGAAATGTTCCCAACCTTCCCAGGAGATTCCCCTTTACATATTTTTCTAAAACCTGTTAAAATGAAGGGAGCCATTTTTTTAAATTTAAAGTCAAATTAAGCTTTTATGCTCAAAACCCTGAATTCCCTTAGACAGGGTTCCTACAGCTTATGGCAAGTTAAATTCAAGTCTTTTTAAGACTTTTTAATGCCACTTGAAATAAAAATTTAAGACCAAATTCACAAGAAACACAAGAAAAACCTGCTTGCGACAACTTAACCCAAAGGTTTATTTTAACATAAACCACTGCACTAATGTTTCACATATTGAAAAGCTTCCCATACAGGAAGAAAGCTAAAAACACACAAATGACAGAGATAATAGAAAACACCCATAACTGAATTCACAAACTTT